AAAACTATTCAGTAATCTTTAATCAGCAACATAAATATTTGGATACTTTGTCAATGATTGTTTGGAGTTAAATGGAGAGTGGGTATGAACATTTCCCTACTTAAAAAATGCAAAATATTTTTAAGCAATGCGTTGGACTTAAGATATAAACAATCTAGTGAACTATATTTTTGGGAATGGAAACGAAAATGGACATGTGAACCCTGATTTGAGCTGAACAAACACAGAAAGTAAAGCAAATGCTGAAGGTAAAATTTCTAAGTCAATTGCTAAATTGAGAATAAATTTACAAAAAAATCATGCGTAATGGATAATTTTGTATCATAACCAGTATTCAACCTAGATGATGAATTCTCGAATTTTTAATTCTAAATTAAGTCATTATTTAAAATTTAATAAGCCTATTGCAAGTCCAGAGGGCTCAGGATTGATTTTTGGTCTGTTTGATTTCATTTTCTCCCTTTCATTTACAGATTTTAGTTTAATTGGCCTCCGAAATATGGCTTAAATATTGCCGACTCGGTGTTAAACAATATCAATCAATCAGTCAGTTTAATTGGAAGGTTAATTTTTCATTTTCAAATTCTGTTTTAAAATAATTATTGTAAATATAAGATTAAACATAGCTTAAACTGAGATAGTTTGAGATAAAAATAATATCAGGCTGCTCACTTATATCGGATTGTCAAAGGTAATATTTTAAGACTGCAAGAACAAAGGAATGACACCACACCAATGTTTTTAATTCTGGTTATCCAGTATCGAACATGCGTAATTTCTATGACATAAAAGTTTAAATAGATGCTTTTTATACACAAATAAAATTGCTTATACCTTGTTTGAGACAAAATCGAAACTAAATAAAACAAAACCAAAGCACAAACAAACAAACAAAACAAATAAGAAGTATGTTTACACAAAAAAAAGATAATAGTGTTTTATAAAAAAGTGATATATGAATGTATATAAAAATCAATGTAAAGACAAATTTTGTTATTGATTTAAAACTTTAATACTTTTCACAGGAATATGAAATAATTATGATGAAAGTTTTATTCAATTACTTTAATCTTGTTTATTAATCATCATTTCTACTCTTATCTTAGATTTAGTGCAATTTGGAGTGCACCATACCTTTTAAATGCAGAGGCATATTGTTTTAAATATTTTTAAAGTAAGGTAATCGATAAAGTCTAGTTCAAGGGGTCATGCACATCTAACACAAATGCTTCAATTTAACTTCAGAAGTTTAAAGAAGCCTGGAACAGTTGTATATTGCCGTTTTATTTACAATTTCAATTTTCTATTTTTATCAAAAATAATTCAAATTTGATGAGTGTAACTTGCATGAAAATTTTTATAATTCAATGACGAGGAATTTCTGTTAAAAAAAAAAATTACGTCAAACATCTACTTTGACACTATGAAAACTATAGTTAACTATAGTAATACCTTTCACACTTTGATATAGTGATCATTATGCAAACTTTCATTGCAGCCCGGAGGACCGGGCTGCTCTATGCATATAAGTTTAAGTGTTGGTATATGGGGATTGAGGTGGGAGAAGTTATTCAGAATTAAAGGTTTTCTAAACATTAAAAAGATTGTTAATCAGAATGTTCTTTCCCTTTATAAATTACGAGATACACAATATTATTTACTTCCATGAAGTGAATCTGTAAAAATATATATGTTTTTCATATTTAATATATAAAGTTGCTTATCATTTACTATCGAAAAAATGACAGGTCCCTTTTTTTTTAGAACATCGAATTTTACTTATCGCATAAAAACGTAAAAATGTACTTTACACAGTTCGTGTTTTATCTTCTTAAAGTGAAATATATTTTTGAAAATAGGTGATGCATGTGTCTGGTTTCAAATTATATTTTATGCAGCCAATTAACATTTACTTGAGGAATTGATAAAGTTTAAAAGAGTATCGTTTTTGTTCGATTTTCATCCGACTATAAGTTTTCAAAATATTCTCGACTATCGTCTCCATCATTTAGACGCATGCCTTTTTCACACATATCGAAGCGGTTTGATGATAAAGACTCATTTCCATTGTTTACTTTATTTATTTCCCGGGCGACAATAGATGGTTACATCAATGTTTTCTTGTTTACTATAGTGATCACTATGACACTAAAGTTATCACTATGACACTAAAGTTATCACTATGAAAACTTTCATTTACTAAGGTTATCAATCTTATATACTTTATATCGTTGTTTATAAGATGATAACTCTATACATTTACATCTTGTTTTATGTACTTAATGCTATTAATATAATTTGCTTTAATAATATGAAAAAGACCAGGTAAAATGAAAGACAAAGAATATTCATTTTAGAAATTTTTAGCCAGTCGCAATCATTGAAAAACACGAAGTTTCAAAAAGAATCGCTAAAATAAAATTTAAATAAACCGTACTGCATGCAACGTGCATGGAATTATTTGAAATACAAGACATCAACAAATAAATTTGGTAAAATGAGAAAATCTGTAAAACAGGATATTATCTATATTGTGCAATTAATGTTAAATTATTGAGACTTTTATCACAGAACACTTTTGACACTTTGATTTTCTATAGTGATAACTTTGAAAAATATGATTTACTTTAGTGATAGCTTTCAAAACTTGGATTTACCACGAGGGTTGTTCGGAAAGTTCGTGGACTTCTGTCATATCTTTTTTATTAAGCGTCGTAATTTATCCAAATTTCGTAGAAATATTTAAACAATAAATTCAAATGATTTGTATTAAAAATTTTAAAAATATCTTGATTTATTTCAATCTTATTAGGAGTTCAAAAATGCGAAAATTGGTTCGCGGAGCAAGTCAAAATTTAGTAATTTACAAACAATACAATAATTAAAGTTTGTAGTCATATACTGTGTAAAATGGCTCAAAACCACAAAAATCTAGACGATCAAAGTAAGAATTGTTACATTGTTTCATATTCCAAATTATGAATTAATAGTTTGCTGCGTTGAAAAGAAATCAATTTATGAAGATAGGTAGACTTCAATGAAAACGGCAAAAAAGTTGAGGTCTTAGAAAGTCACGGAGCAGCAGTTTACGATACAATTTCCTGCTGTACTCTGTAAAAAGTCAGAAAAAACCTAAAAATGTTGTAAGAAGCATGAAATATCTCAAAAGCGAGTCATGCATGTGTGTATGTAAATGGCCCAGGCGGTATTTGAATGATATAATAGACTCTTTATCAAAAGAGGACGATCTATGAGGAAATAGATTATCTGTAAAAATCTAGTAACCAAAAATGGTTGCTGATCTTGTGAAACCATAGTTAAGCGGTAAAAAAAAGAAAACACTGACAAACAAAAATATGAGACTGAAACAGTTTTTAGCAAAACAAATTTCAATTGATAGAGACACGCTTTTAATGAGCCGATTTTGGACCAGACTTTGTGAAATGTATAAGGGGAATATTTTGAGAACCTCCTGACGCTATATTTTTGACGTTATAATGTTTTTTTAGAGTGCTCCGGGTTATCAAACATGTTGATTTTAAAATGAAGTAAATTGATTTCTATTACATCGAATTGAATGAAACTAAACACTTCAATAAAATAAATATTTTCAAACATGATATTGTGCTTATTTTAAATTTCTTGAAAGTAGTATAACGAAGATTAACATCGTCCACGAACTTTTCGAACATCCCTCGTTTAGTGATAATTATGACATTATAGTGATAACACTATATTAACACTTAACACTTAAGATTAACACTTAGTGATAACTTTGAAAACTTTGATTTACTATAGTGATAACTTGAAACTTTGATTAACTATAGTAAACTCTAGTAAACTATGGTATTTTTTGTTAGGGTTATTCTTAATGTTTATGTTTTATCGGGTGTGTTCAATTCGTTTGCTCTGCACACATCACTTAGCACGGACTGACAAAACTGATGAGATGAATTTGCTTTTTTTCAGTTTTTACTCCGAATTTTCTGTATTAAAGTTATGATATTGTTCATTAATACACAGCAAATTTTGCCAAAAGTTTACTTCGTGGAAGTGCGAGGATGCGTGTTAATCAAACGCGTCCCAAAGTTCGTATTTTTGATAATTTCTAGATAAAAGAGTTGCTCAACACACTTTTGTAATATTTCTGTGTGAAATGCTCCAGCAACATATAAGTCATGATATTAAACTGAAAATACTAGAAAATATTAACCTCAAATCTGTAACCGAGCCCCTTTTAAATTTCATGACATATTCAATATGTTTATACAGGATTTAATAACAAAGTACCACATTTTGGGCATTTCCTAATGATTGTTTACTGAATTTTATCTCTTTATTCGATATTAGTAATTGCCAAAAAGGCAATTTCATTTGTAAAATGGTTCATTAAGTAGTTGTAAAGAGTTCGTTTAGTTGATCAAACCTTTCAGCGCTAAGTTAATTACATTAATATTTTACTTATAAGAACTGTTTGTGCTATAAATATTTCAACATTTAGTCCAGTCTATTCAGATAACCAGTACAATATGATCACACACGGTGAAAATCATTTCAATCCATGAAAATACAAAATTCTTTGGCTTAATTACAAATACTCTGCCAAATTTTTCCGATGACATCGTTGAGGCTCCCCATTAGGTCAATGACTTGTTTAATAACGTGTCATAACTGAAGATTAGACATCGTGTTATAACTTCTGACAATGTACTTGAGAAAAGAAAAAGTAAGAAAAATCAGTTTTCCTAATTGGACATAACTCTGCATGTAAGTTATCAAAATATGTTTCATAATGCAGAAAAAAATATTTGCATTCAAGTGCTGTCTTTGTATCTGATGGTTTTGAAAACAATTGGAACACTTACAAAGAAAAATATTTAACTCCATTCATATAAATGTTGGCCAGTACTCAACATTTTTTCGGTCGGTATCTCTAGATAGAAAGTAGGGTACATGAGGTGTTTTTAAATTTAGACCATTACCTGTATTTCAGAGAAATGATATCTAGGGTTAATATTTGGTCATTACAGCTGCAAAACATGGACCTAGGACAACAAGGTACGTATAGCAATGATTTAAGATTTATTTCCGTTAATCGCTACAGTCTTTCAATTAATATATATGTTTATTTGAATTTTAAAAGCGTGAGCATTGCACCCGTAGTTTTTGCAAAGAAAAATTAATACGCCCAAATCTAATGTTAACTTAAATAAAATAATGATAACTACCCACCTAGTAATTTGATGCAACAATGATAACAAATGTAATGATTTTGTATTCTTTTCGTTGAAATGAAATCCTGATTTTTTTCTCATGTTTTCCCCCTTTTATAATAGATTACGGGAATCTTGAAAAACGTCCTTCCAGTAAATGACCCTTTAAAGAGTAAACATGGAATATCCAGGTAAGTATTTTGCATTTCAGTACATCTCTTATTTTGTGTTCACGTGTTTGATTTCTCTGCTCAAGGTGTTCTACATGTACATGTACATTACCTGAGTAAGAATTGCAGTAATTTGCTTTCACATGTTTTAGTTGCACTATTAAGCAAACTTCAAATTTAGCGAGTCGTCGTAGTGTGCGAATAAGAATTCTGTGAATTTTGTAGATGATTTTGTCCCTTTCTTTGCGATTTTTTTTTTTTTTTTTTTTTTTTTTTTTTTTTTTTTTTTTTTAGAAATTCGGCTTCTCATATTTTCGCAGTGTACTTGTATTGTCGATTATAGCAATCACATTTATTCTTTAAGAATACCATTAAGGATCAAATAAAAGAATTTGATTAATCTTTTGTTTTTCTTTTACAGCGAACACAAAGAAAGCAAAAGAGACCAGATGTGAATGTCCTGACTGTGTACGTTTCCATTCCCTTGAACCTAGCACTACAAATACTGGCTCTGAAATTCGTGATCCTTACGATCAAATAGATGAAACCCCTTTGCAAGTTCCTGAAGTTCATGCTCAGGATGAAACTGATAGAAACAGACTCGGGGGAGCTTCTGCAGATTTATCTATCAACCAACAAACAAATTCTACGGAAATTTCAACCTCTTCCAGAAATCTTGATCCCACATCGGAACACGAGGACTGTACCTGTTACAGATATAAGAGGTCTGCTGCAAAAAGTCAGCCCATTCCGACTAGATCAGTCTGTTTAGAGAGCAGTATATTACGAACGATGTCATTTACAATTCTCTACAGCATTCCCAGGGGATCCACTACTGTCAGTAAGTTTCTAAGGGCTTCTCTTAAGTACTCTCATAAAAGCAGGACAAGGTTTAAGAACATTTTTTGCTTGAATTATAATTTTTGAACACCATTTATAGAGGCAAAATGTTGCAGACACTTTGTGATAGCAAAATAATATTATAAGCTTGTTAATATAATAAACATTTGTCTACTTTGATATACATGTAATTTATTTTATGTTATTCTATTGTTTCAGATGCAGAAAAACCAATTATCTATTTGACATTTTCCGATGAAAGTAAGAGACACACACGTGAAATTAGGAAATTGTGTGAAAAACTGAGGGATTCACTTGAATTTTCTGTGAAATGTGATAAATACGATGCGCTTAGAAAAGTAGGAGAACTGAATATTCATGGTTGGAGAGACTTAAACTACGGAAAAGCTAAATGGATACTCTTCTGTATTTCGCCTGGTTATAGCAAAGCGCTAAGAGCAGGAGAGTACAACAGTCCAGTGGCTGAAATAAATGAACAAGAGCAAGGCATTGTCTACATTCATAACATTGCAAGGGCAGAGTTTCAGCAGAATGGTAGCAAAAACTACCGTATGATACCGTTACTGTTTACAAAAACTAAAGCCTCTGTATCTGATATTCCATACTTTTTAAGTTCCTCGCCATATTTCATGTTTCCTGAACATAAAGAGGATTTATTTCGCTTATTAAGAACCCAAAGACAACATTGACAGTTAGTAGAACAAATGTGTCTTACACATCTTACACCATTCTGATTCATGAACAACATGTATTTCATATTTCCAACTGATTTTTAATGTATGTACAATGATATTCATAACAAAACAGTTCTTTATTAGCTACATAGAAAAAAATCAAAATCTCTTAATATAATGTGGTTTTCCTTATTTTCCCTGATATTGAAATAAAGGTATCCAATGTATTTTCCAATATATTTTAAAATTATGGTATTGTATCTTTTACAAAGAAAGAGTTAACAAGTACTCCTTCTTGTGGCTTCTGATCAGGTGTCCGTGTTTTTGTCCTGTTTACTATCCGTGTAATGACGATGACGTAAGAGATCATATCATTTTTGGCGTTATTTCAAAAATAATTCGGAGCAGGTGAATGCAACTATGAGTTTCTATTTGACCTTTTTTGAGAAAAGCAAACATAAATTAGATTTAAATGTTCAATTGTATGTCAACTTCAAAACTGGAAACTTGACTTTCATGGCAATAATTCATCTTAAATCAAAGTGATATAAACATTTTTTTGTTAAATAGATAACACGAATACTGTATTTGATTGCACATCTTCATTAAGTTCATATTTAAAAATTCAAGAAAAATTTATTATTTCAAATCTATAATTAGAAGTTATCATTTTTTCTAATTGATGCTCATTGATACATTTCATAAAGGCAAATTAAGGTTTAATTATTTGAAAAAAATGTTTCCATGAAATGATACAGTTAATAAGTAAGAAATCTATATAACAACATATAAATAACAATGGATATAGCTATACAAATCTCAATTTAGCCGCAATTGCCATCGAAAACCTCACGTAGACAATGTAACCAATGAATGCGTTTTCAGCTCAAATGATCCGAAGGCTCAATTAAGTGAGCTTTTCTGATCAAAAAGTGTCCGGCGTCCGTCTGTCGTCTGTAAACTGTTCACATTTTCGACTTCTTCTCAAGAACCACTGGGCCAATTTCAACCAAACTTGCCACAAAGCATCCTTGTGTGAAGGGAATTCAAGTTTGTTCACGGGAAGTGCTGCGCCCTCTTTCAAGGGGAGATAATTAGGAATTCGTAAAAATTTGGTGGCATCTTTTAAAAATCTTCTTCTCAAGAACCACTGGGCAAGAAAAGATGAAAATTATGTGAAAGCTTTATTAATCAGGTCTGGGCGGGCCTCCGTTTTTGGAGGGTAGCTAGATTCAATATGGCAGCCAAATTTTTTACCATATATGGAAACCGCATTGCATTGTGGGATAGTTTAGCCTCCAATTTCAGAGGATGATATAGGTAATTTTCAAACGCCTCGTGCCTACCTTTAATCAAAAAGTGCAAGCACCAGAGTACATGTAAATTAAAGTTCAAACATTAAACTATCGATTGTATGTGGCGATTTGAGATTCTATGTCTAGAATGTTTACAATACACTTTCAAAGCTGGCACTTCTTGCACTCCGTTTTTACTTAATATTTCTTAGCCTTTTGTTATATTTTTATGCTCTTCCCTATCAATACAAATAAAAAGGGACTCAAATAATATTATTTTCATATTTTCTCTTAATTTAAAAATGGAGAAAAAAAAGAAAAACAGAAGGAAACGTATTTTAAACACAAAATGTACTCTGCCTTATAATTTAATACTATAAAAAAAATAAATTATTTGAAATGCATATATAAATAAATAAAATAGATAATTTAACATGTTTACTAAGAAATTAACGTTATTATATACATGTTCATACATATGTATATATAAATTAAAACCAGGGACCTATATACTAGTATATAGGTCCCTGTTAAAACAAAATATTACAAAAATGATATGTTTCAGGATTATTCATTAAATGAAATACTAGTAATACTTAAACTTAATTTTTCAAAAAAATTATGTATCAATTTGTAAACCGTTTAACACATACCGAACCGAACACATACGGTACCGAAAATCAGCTTGGTTATAATTAATGTCTCAGACAGGTAAGGGTAATCGTTGTTAACTAAGCTTTAAAGTTTAATTAAAACTAAATAATTGATTGACAGCAATTACAAAATAAATGTTATATTGATTTAATATCTCGATTTATACATCATCACATGATATTTTACGTTTTGTTTGTTACGGTTCATAAACTGATAAATGCAAGAGTTGCTGTTATTTGTTTGGTTAAGAGTTAACTGCCCTTTGTTTTGAAAAGTCCGGTAGGTGGCAACACCTCTATCCTCTGTTTTTAGAGCACAAAATCTATCCTCCAAAAACAGAGGCCGCCTAGACCTGTTGATAATCTAGATTCAAATTTGTTCATATCATAACCCCCTGGGGTAGGGCGGGGCCACAAGAGGGGGTCAAAGATTTACATAGGAATATGAAAGAAATGTATTTTAAAAAAATGATTAGTCATATTATTACAGAAGTATCCTCAGGTAGTGTAGATTCAAGTTTGTTCCAATCATGACCCCTGGGGGTAGGGCAGGGCCACAACATGGGGATCAAAGTTTAGCATAGGAATATATAGGAAATGTCTTTAAAAATCTTCATCTTCTGGAACAGCTAAGCCATTAGTAGACATATTAATACAGAAGTATCCTCAGGTAGTGTAGATTCAAGTCTGTTCAAATCATGACCACTGGGGGGGGGGGGGGGGGAGGGGGTTAGGACGGGGCCACAACAGTGGATCAAGGTTTACATAGGAATATATAGGTGTAATTGTTAGGGTCATTTTAGTAAAACGCATTGAAGACTTTAAATAGTGGAATGACCTGAACTCCCTTGGAATGGACTAGCCTAAGGGTATATAAGGCAAAGCTTTTGGAAAGTCAGAGGCATTCAGAAGGTAGCTGTAGAAGTTGGATGATGAATCAGCAATGAAAAAGTTAGGTATTCCATCCTAATAGCAAAAGATTCAATGAAATTGAATGCAAAATGGATGAAAGGTTATGAATACTCAGTATATTTAGACATAATTCCCATTTATTACTATAAGCATGTAAGGGTGGGATGTGTCCTGATTTATGACCTTGAATTTTGGTAAGAGTTATCTCCCTCTGTTTTTATTTAATTAAAAAAAATCAATTTCAAGAAACTTATAAAACTGGTAAAAAAAATTTCAATTATCATTCTATTTCTAATGTTTAAGCGCATTTTTCCACTACAGTATTTATGGATAATCTTATTATTTGAATTTTTATTTTTAAAAAATTGCCCCCATAGACTTCAATGCAATCTTTGTTAAGTACTTACTGCTAAGTTAATTGCATTTTTGAAGCTTCCTCTTGGTAAATCCTTTTCTACTGTAAAATGCTTTAAATTAATATCAGAGTATTATGTATGTGAGGGACAGTTAAGGATAGAGGATGGAAAACCTTACGGATAAGAGCAAAATAAAAGTATAAAAGTTATGAACACCAGTGGCAAGTATCCTAGGGAATTGATGTTAAGTCTGGGTGTAGTAAATCTGAAGAAGATTGAGACAACTGGTTCTTATCTATCAATGTGAACCTAAGGGAGAAACACGGTGCAAGCAGTACCTTACCCAGTTCCCATCTCTAGATAAGAGAAATTTAAGTACTGTGTGATATACCCCCAGACAGAGCTGTCTTAATAATCATTCCAATCATTAACTCATACAGAGAAAAAGGAATACTATATATCCCTTGTACAAATCTGATCATACCATTACATAGAAAATTTCTTTGAAATCTTCTTCTCAAGAACAACTAAGCCATTATTAGTCATATTTATACAGATCGAAGCAAGGTATAGTAGAATCAAGTTTGTTCAAATTATGCCCAGGGGTTGGGGGCACAACAGAGGGTCAAAGTTTTGCATAAGAATATATAGGAATCATCTTGAAAAAATCTTTTGCTCAATAACAGCAAAGCCATGATTAGTCATATTATTATAGAAGCATCCTCAGGTAGGTAGATTCAAATTTGTTCAAATTTATCGTGGGAAATGTGGGACCACAATGAGCAATCAGAGTTTTACATAGGAAGACATAGAAAAAAAATCTTTAAAAGTCTTCTGTTTAAGAACAGCAAAGCCTTGATTAGTAATATTGATATTGATATTGAAGCATCCTGAGGTAGTCCCCCCTTTAAAACTTTTCAATACTGAACTGATTTCTGCTTCTCCCTAGCCAGTGTGCTCGTGTGAGCGATGTGACCAATGGGCTTCTTGTTAAAAAATCTTTTGATTCCTCAATTAAGGTGAAATGGGAATAAACTTCTGCAAAAAGCTGCATTCATATGGATATCTGACAAATAAAAATGCTGTGTTTGCTTCATGTGGCATCAAAGTCAGTAAAAATTTTAAGAATGGAAGCAATGAATGTTACGAGTACACGAGTCTTCATCGCTAGCGTTATGTAGAATTGACCACTAAAATTAACTGCTCTATGTAATTTAAAAGGAAGAGATAAGGAGAAATGCCAAATTGTAGTAAGTGCGCATGTACTGATCAGGACTGAAAATTGCAATAGCTTAGTTCTAGAGTTTTTGGGAATCTCTACAACCTAACACTTGTATCTGTAGAAGTACATTTTCCGCATGGTATTAATTTACGCTATGTATGCCGTCACACATTTTTCTGCGGGAAATTGTCCCAGCGTGCCAGCGTACTGAAAGTACATGTAAGGATATTGTGGTAATCTAGGAGATCCGCGTAATTTTCTACCAGCGAATTGAACAGAAATTGTGATTTCGTGAAATTTTGAACCCGTGGAAAAAGTACCGTTACAGTATTTGACAAAAGTTGCAGATTGTAGAAACTTGGTTAAGGCTTCTACAAAAATTGTTAAGGTATGTATAAATTTTAATAAGTTTGACGACATGTGTGTATTTGAATTGATTTGACAAAGGCACTGAAGATTGGGCTTTGTTGGAAAATTACCAGAAAATTCTGTTTTATTGTAAACTTAAGAAATGTTAAATGAAAGATGAATATTTGCTTATTTTATTCCAAAATGAAAGCATGCTTCATACTTATTTCGGGATCTTTACTTTGAGCTTATTTCTTCCAATAATCTTAGGTAGGCCTTTTTCCTTTTTTTTTTGGGGGGGGGGGGGGCATACCTCTTGTGTCCATTTGTTTTCTTGAATAAGGATACATGTAAGAATGGTTATGCACTAACTTTCTATAAAAAGAAAAAATGGAGGCAAATGCTTCAATTTTTGTTTTACTGAGAATGATATGTTCTTATGTACTTGTATGATAAAATAGCTTTTCCAAAAAATCTTGCCTTTATCATTGTGGACATAAAAGAGAACATACAAAATTTATCTCCCTTTTAAAAAGTTGTTTAAAGTTTATAATAAATCTGGAATGGCCATTATCTTAAAAAAATCATGGGCAAATTGTTCCCAAGCATAGCTGAGGTCATTTAAGGGCTCTTATCAAGCATGGCTTTACAGAAGACACCTAGCAAACGTTTGTTCCTTATATATGGTGATTATCCAAATATATATCCACCCAAAGTCCTGTGCCCTCGATCATTGTCCACTGAAAGCTACGAAATAGAACATGCATTTCATAACTGGACATAATGATGGGGAAAACTTCATATTATCATGTAGACTTCTGTGACCGATTGGTTTCTTAATGTAAGAAAGATTTAAATTTATTTTTAAATTGCTTAAATCGCTCAGGTCACAGTCAGGTGCTCCTGTTGTTAGGATAACAAACCGTCACCGGTGACCTAAAATTTGCTTTTGGTATAACCACGTGACGTGCTTGTATATACATATGTGTTTATCAACAAAGACGGGGTATTGGAAAATATGTCTGCCAAAGGACTTTCAATCAGATTTGGTAAGGACAATATAGAGTTGGACTGATAACCGGTTCTATAATTGCTTCTAAATGCATTCTGTAAATCTTAAATTTTATTTCAGATGACTCATGCTCTTGTCGGGACTGTCAAAGTTATCAAAGTCATATAAAAAATGAATCCTTTGCAAATTATGTGATATGTGAAGATTTAAGTCCGGGTCGATGTAAAAACTATTTGTTTCACCAAACTTCAATTGAAAGTAATATACAAAGAATTGCGTTTCCCAATCCATTTCCGAACTCAACCTTGTCTCTCAATTGCCCATCTCTTCCCAAATCAGTGTTCGAAAATGTGTCTCAGTCTCAACGTACAGAACATTTGAGCAGTAACGATTTAAGTTATACAGGAAATCAGTCAGAGCAGAAAAATGATCTTTCCAGCATCGGAAACCATTCAGTCAGTACTGGACATTTACCGAACAATTGTAATGATATGGACGATTTCAAAGACCGACCATCCATTTCTCATAGTGCACCACAGTTAAGCAGCAACATACCACGTTGTAAGTACATGTACTTATTATGCTTATGTACAAAATATTCTACTCGTATATTAACATGCACTCCATACAATTTAAACAATAAAATGCTTTCTTTGGTTGGTTGTTTGAAAAAAAAATATTGCAGTCGTTGCAAAAAAAAAACAAAAAAAAAAAAAACATTACCAGCGTAAGCGGGTTATGTAATTTTTCTGCAATAGCTTCAACGTTTAAGTCCACAGTTTAACAAAGAAAGAAAGACATCTTATTGTTTATATCTAGGACAGTAAAAATAATCATATAAAGAAGGATTAAGTACGTTAAATATTGTATCATTGATGTGCACGTCATATTGTGTTTCATTGATGGAAGAGCCACTGCTCAAGAAATCCATATAGGTGGCTTACTTAACGGCGTTAAAGTATTGTTAAGTTGCTGTCCTTCAAAAGGACTGCAATACGTGGACAATAGGCATGTTTTTCTGTTAAAAAATAAAAAAAATATTCTTTTGTATAAATGAAAATATGTGGGTACAGCCCACTAATACATTTCCCATAGGTGAGAATGTTAACGTTTTCTCACACAGCTCCTCCCCTAATTTTCGTTCAAGGATGGGACACCCCTCAAATGAAAGCTCGTCAAATTCTCTCTCACTGATTAAAATCTCGAGGTGGCATGTCAGATTCGTTTTCCGCTAAAATGCACATGTTCGCAAAAACATCTGAAAATGAAAGTAAAAGTACGGTAATTCCCAAAGTCAGATATCAACAATTCAAACAAGAACATATCAAACAATTCAATTCCTTTCCTTCCAAAGTTAACACAAAAATGAAAATGGTTTTGAACGTGAAATTTTCTCTTCTTTCATATATATCAAGCATCTTTAGTTCAAATGGCTTATTTTATATACTGCTTGCAAGTTAAGGAACTATTTCGTTTTAGTGAACTACTTTCTTTCCCTACTCTAGCAATAATTAGAGGTATGTATCCATGTGTTGTAGAAAGTTTTTATCTTGAAACTTGTAATTTTTCACCTCAATTTGACGTAATAGTCTAATTACTAAAACTGTAATACATGTATCTAAATCTGGATATCGATTATTCTTCATCAAGCATCTGATATAGCCTTGAACTTTAAGATGGGATGTTGAAATGAAATGGGTCATCCATGTATCACAATTACCACATATGTGAAATGGGTTGCTCAAGCCAAGAATTGAAAATATGGTCCATGTTTAAGCAGTGCTGATCGCCTTGACTGGGAAGATATTTCCATTGAGGAAAGGAGGCATTTCTGTTGACGACAGCATATATTATAACAGCCCATAGGAATCGGGGAGAGGGAGGCAATAAAATTTACAGTTGTTCCCGTGCAATAATTTTGCCCGTAAAATTATACAATAGAAATTTAAGCTAATTTACGGTCATTCCACCATCAAAAAAAGTTAGATTTTATTTTGCCATCCCAGAATTTCTGTAATTTGTTGACTCCCACATCCTCAAATTGTTTTTAATTCCAGCTGTAAAGTCATCTGGCATCTTCCGCTTTTTGAAATGTTATCCTATCTTAACCGTAAATGTTATTTTTAGCAAATATATACACCTGTACATATCTAGAGTAGAGTATTTTATTAACAGATTTAGAATCTGGATCCATAAAAATAAACAAATAAAATGTACAGAATTTATACAAGTTGTCCTAGAGGCGAACTGTCTAGCATTCTGAAGCATGTACAATCTTATACTTATCCCGGTAGCATCCGGCTTAACCTTGCTTATATATTTATATATATTTTCTGTGTTGACGACAGGATCCATGCAATAAACGACTTAGCATTTCATAAAGAATAAAGGATATAATATTCAGAGGACGTGAATATATAATGATAAATACTATGCATTGTGTCATTTCAGGCATCTGCAAGGATAGTCCAATTGTCTACGTAACATTTGCTTCTGGAAGCAAGAGGCATGAAGATGAAATAAGGGATTTGTGTGAGCTATGTGACAGAGCAGGATTTACTGTTAAATGTGACAGTGACAGGGCACTGATGGAAAATGGCGAGTTGAACGTTAATCAGTGGCGGGATATTAACTTTCAGCGGGCTGCACTCGTTTTGTTCTGCATTTCACCAGCTTATAACGGAATGGTTAATTTGCTGGAGGAAGATGACATAGCCACAGCAGAAGAAAATGATCATTTAAAGGGAGCTTTATACATTTTTAATTTAGCTAGAGCTGAGCTCGTTGACTCTTACTCAATTGATAGGCGCTTTTTCTGTGTTTTGTTCACGAATGCAGGAGGGAAGCTGGAAGTCCCGAGGTGCTTTACACCTTATTCAAAGTTTAAATTTCCTGGAGAGTCAGAAATTCTCATCAGTGCAATGCAACATCGTTATAAACGTAATCAAAGAAGACAATAAAAATTTACAATACTTCATTCCATATCAATATAACAATCTTTTTATTGTATACGTAGTTAAATGGGGAAAAACACATTTTTCGTGAATTTCAATAGTTGTCTTTGTGGATTCTAACGCTCTTATTTACATAGCAATTGTAGAAAGAGAGAGAATTCTTTTTAAAAGAATGCTTCTGAAATATGACATTTAGCAATACTGAACTGGAATTTCCATGGAATTCCAGTGTTTAAATTTAAATCTGCGTCATTAGGGGTGTGTCTGTGTACTATCAAAAACTGGTTTTCAAATATATATATATATATATATATATATATATATATATATATATATATATATATATATATATATATATATATATATATATATATATATATATAGTTATTTAAAAAATTAATTAAGATATCTGTTTTAGTTTAGTCAACAAGCTTTCTTAAAAGAAGTATTTTTTGTTCATTTGATACCATTTTATTTTAATCTTTGAGATACAAAATGGCAACTCTTGGCAATAATAGGCCATGGTTGTGTATTACCATTTATATGATACTAAAATGTTAAATGTTTATTGGCAGATGCGGGATTTCTCGAGCTTTCAAAATGACGACTCTTCAAAATGAATTTTATAAACTTGTATTTGTTGCATTTTAACAAAATTACTTTGCTTGTGGTTTAGTGAAAAGAGATAAAAGTAATGATATTTTAAGAGTTTTTTTTTTCAATTTAATTCTAAGCCTTTGAATGCATTGAACAATAGACTATAATTGCAGAGACATTTCAATTTCATGTAGACAGAATGGAATGGATCTGAAACAGAGATACCTGAAAGTAGATACCAAGACAACCTTTGTGTTTACTTGGCAATGCTTGAAGTAATTACTAAGTATCAAAGCAAATTTTCAAAAACTAAAGTTATTAAATAATGCAAGAGTGTCCTCCTGTCATTAAAGGTACATGTATTTACTGCGGTATTTGTCATAGTAGAAACGACTCCGTTGATTGTGGTAAATAAATTTCTTAAATTAAAGCTCTTATCTCTTTCACACCACTTCACCGTATCGAGGTCCCAAGACAATGGATTGAAATATTTTTAGATTTAAAAACATGGGTACAAATGTATTGATACCTTAGATAAAAATAGGAAACTGTGTACGTGACAAGATAAACTGTGTACGTGACAAGAGAAAGGGCAAGGTCCCTCATTAACAATTATCTGTAACCGACACTTGGTATTCAGAGGTTGTTTAATGATGGGTGGAAATATTCATAAACATATGCAAGGCTAATTTTTCAGCTTTTTTATATAAATTTGTACGCCAAAAATCAGATCGAGAAATTTCAAGCTATATAAACATGCCCTATAAGTTTTCCAATATTTTCATCAATTGCGATTAATGATGATCATATTATGTATAAGGCATTATTTGGATTGTGAAAGCATGTAAGCTAGGGAGTATTTTGTCATTAAAAAAATAGGATTAAAGGCCTTTTTTACATTTGCAGTAAGGTATGTACCCATCAAAACTAAGGTATGTATAAGTAACAATAAAAAAAGACAAATATATTATACAGTTTTGGCATTTTCTTTTTTTCTAACAAGAATGAAGTAGTTCGTATCTTCACGCTCAAAGTAGTTTAAATAATTTTAAACATTTGGAATGAAAATAAAATTCGGGGTATTGAAGAACTAATTTCAGAAAGAAAAAAATGTTTAAAAGCCCGAAGGTAATAATGCTAATTTTAAAAAAAATTATCAAATTTTTAATATTGTTTTTACAAAATTACAAAAGATATAAACAATGTGAATACGATTCAACAATTCGGAGTTCAGTGTAGAGTGTATAATATGTGAACCGATGTGAAAAATTACATGTTTTAAAATGGATTTTGTTGAATTATGCAGACTGCATGCAGATCTTTTTTCTTTACTTCCACAAAACAGATAAATTTCTCATATCGGGAAAACATTTTTGAAGGGAAAATGTGAGATCTTTGTACTAGTATCTAGATGAAAATTATTTTGTTTTGAATTAGACCCTACATCATTTAAGGCACTGTACATATGTGCATCATATATAATATGATAAACATACATAATAAATGTATTACATGTATATAACTATTGTCCTGGTTTAACAGGAAAAGGAAGATTTAGAAAATTTAGAAAAATTAAAGAGAGGAAAGATGTATCAACTGAAAACTAAAGCGATAGTTTCATAAGATGTGGAAAATAATGGAGCGGAGAATCTATTCTTTTATTACGATTATTCGTTTTAGGGAAACATGCAAAAAACATCAATTTTGGAACTTAATTTAAGTTGTGTAATATTGACAAATACCAATAACTAAGCATTGGAAGACAATGTGTTGATATTTCCATGCCTAAGAAAATGGTGTCTTGCTGTCTTCATAAGTCTGAATATTAATAGATATTTGATATTTGACTATGTTGAAAATAACACAAAATGAATCGTTCAAATATACAATGTAATGTCATATATAATTGCATAATTTTAAACAAACCATGAAACATGCTATCATCATTTAGCTCTTTTCGGACGAGAAAAATTTATGTCTTACGGATAATTCTATCTGATTCTAGTTATACTAAAAGTCATTTCTTCAGCAGGAGATTATTAATATTTGATATCTTATAACTGATCTTACAATAGATGCTATTGTGATGTAATGGAAAATAATATGAGATCTTTGAAATGTTTATTTTTTTTTTTTATAAAAAATATTTTTGTTTGAGTTTTTTCGTATGGTTTTTATTTCCAAAAACGGAATCCGTATTGTTCTGTTGCAATGCTTTTCATCTGAGGTTTAAATGATGCAGATTTAAAATCCTCAACACTTTGAACTTTCTTATCAATGCAAATAAAGATGGAAACCCGATTATTAGATTATGTGCAAGAAAGAGATTTTTAAGTTTTTGACTCACTGGTTAGTTTTATTTGTAGACATGTTTCAAATATTGTTTAAAAGGGACCCCTTAACTATTAAAAAATGACATTACTTGCTTTTTTATTCTTCTTTTTTTAATTATAATTTCAAATATTCCTTACTATATTTTAATTCTAAATATATTTATTCATTTTATCTTGGTAGTGAGCTCTTTTCTTAAAACTCCACCAACGATACACTGAATTCTCGAAGGCTGTGTAAAATATACATTGTAATTGACAATAAAATTGTTACCTGAGTAGCATTGAATATTTAGTAACCTTTACCTGTAAATAAGCAATCTGATAAGAAGTTGAGGAATGGTGTACTTGCAGTGATTCCTGGTCACAGTGGCATGCCAAAACATATGTAAGATCCGGTACTTCCAAAGATATTGTGCACTCACGGAGTCTTACATGTTCACTTGACCGTTATTTAAAAAGCAGATTCAGATTGCATTTTAAAAGAAATAAGAACGTCTTTAATGATGTTTTAGCCAATCAAAGAGCTTGGAATAATGGAGAAAAATTATATATATATATATATATATATATATATATATATATATATATATATATATATATATATATATATATATATATATATATATATATATACAATTAATTACCCCTTATGAGGTCAACATGGTGAAATAAGGACCCGAGACCTGGCCCACGAGGTGACTTGACCTGACCGAGGCCGCGTAGCGGCCGAGGTCAGGTCAGGTCAGCGAGTGGGCCAGGTCGAGGGTCCTTATCTCATCATGTTGACCTCATAAGGGGTAATCAATTGTTTTATTATACCGATATAAGTTAAGGCATTTTTTTAGGCGTAATTACTAAAATAATCAATTGTGTATTAGACCTACGAACTGTTATTATCAGTGTTCCATCGGGATCGGGATTCGCTAGTGAAGTTGTTTACTTTTCGCCTGCAAGTCTTGTAAGTTTTTGCACCGCCGATTTATTTAAACACTCTGTGATTGTCAGTAGCATGCATTTTTATAAATTCACAAATACCATTCCCGAGTACAATGACAATCTGGTGCAGACTTTTACTGTACAAGAGAGCCGCGTCTGCATTCGTTGAATTTGACATTGTCACGAAAACTTGTTTCAATGAAAACGATAAATGTTATGTCACATATAAAGGCCAATCGTGTTCCGTATCCTAAAAATACTATACATATTTTATAACGGCATTTTTTGTAATGTACAAGCAATACTGTATGCATATTTTTTTATTTGAATGGAATTTGGATTAACAGGTCATTTTTAGCGGCCATTATTTTTATTGATCGGTCATTATACCCCAATGATTCCTAGATCATTATTGCTGTAAACGGTACTTTTTGGAGTCATTATTGAGTTTAAAAGCATCCTAACAAGCCAATCAAATTTGAGTATTCTTAATACAGGTATAATATATATATATATATATATATATATATATATATATATATATATATATATATATATATATATATATATATATATATATATATATATATATATATATATATATATATACACGAGGGTTATCCGTGAAAATCGTGGACAATTTGTCTCTATTGAAAAAATAATCATCACTGCGTCCTAAAACTTTCACTACTTTTAAGTACATTTTTCATCAATATACATAGCAAATTTCAAATAGATATCTGCTCAAATAAACAAAATATGAGACTTTCTGTTATGGTATCACCTTACGGCGCACGGACGATAACGTCAAAATCTCTAAAGCAGCGTCACGTTTCCTCTTTGCTAAATAAAAGTTGGATAATCCCCACTTAAATTCGGGGGTTTCATTGATGCACATACTTGGTTTTCCCTTTATTCCTCCATAAACAGTGGAGGAACCTATCTTGCACACACCTGGGACCTTCTGAAGATTTTTTAGTTAAGTTATGGACAGTACTCTCACTATCATTCAACTAAAGAGGCTCTCTTATATCGACGGTCTACAGTAACAGCGTCTTTTGTTATCGCCAGTAGCTGTTTGTCCGTATGTTTTGTTCTACCCGGGGACCCGATCAAAACACTTCCGCTTAGAAAACTCCCATTTCACTTGTATACTAAAGATCTAGTGATATTTTA